TATATATATAGACAGACAAAAGACAGATAGCAGAAACCCCCGGGTTCGGATCTCTGTTGGGGAATTTTTTCGAACTCGCAATTTCCTCTTCTTTACCGTTTATAGATAGCAGAAGGTGTCTGGCTCGAATCCCGGTTGGACAAATTGTTTCGATGTTTATTGTTGAGAATGGGTTTTGACAGAGGCGTTTATTTTTTGTGTGAAATGATACATGTACACTTTCATTACATATTGAACTACAACACATTACCGTCAAATTGCTTGAATTGAAAACAATTGTGTGATCATAGAAGACGTATGGTATGGATCCCAACCAGGTTAGAAAAAAATGTACCAGTATTCTGCTGGAGTAGAATGCCACTGTTTGTGCTTTCTGTTTGATATCAATTTTTTATTAGGCCTATAAGTTTTTCTTTACCAATGTTTCGATGTAATTGTGCAATGATTTTCTGAATAAACTCAAATTAAATCAAATTATTATTATATTATTATTATTATTATTATTATTATTATTATTATTATTATTATTATTATTAAATCAATCAATCAATTAATCAAGCAATCAGACACTCACCCATCCACGTACCTAAACAACCACTCATTCACTTAATCAATAAATCAATCAATCAATCAATCCGATCAATTTTCAATCATGGTCATTATTACACCCAGGACATTGCATTTAGGACCTTCATATATTTATTTATTTCATTAAATAATGTATGCATGTTTGTGCTGTCTTCCATTTCCCTTCTCTCACGAGACATAGAACTTCTCATCGCTCTACAGATAAGTTCAGAATCTGACGCTTGACGCTTGATCTTGATCTACTAATTCTGGCAACACCAACACACATAGTTTGAATTCTGGCAACAGAATTAGGCTCGATCACCAATTCGCCATCATATTTTCGCTGAACACGGAGACGAAGGATGGAACTATAATTTAGGCATTGAAAGCCGTGGTTCTAGTAATAAAATGCTAAAATCTGGCGTTGTTAGTGGCAGAACTGGATGAAAAATCATTGTAAGATATTGTTAGTAGTGCACAGTAGGTAAATATACTATTTTTGAAGATAGAAGTGTTACAGTACTAAAGTGCATTAGCGCCGAGGCGTATACTAGGGCTGGGGGTTAACTAGGCCTAGGCTAGGCCGAAGGCCTAACTAAGCCTAGGCCCTATGGCTATGCATTGAATATCGAGGAGAATATTCAACGCATCCTGTCTACACTGCATAAATGTTATTGTTGACATAATTGTAAATTAAAATTACTACACTACCAACGAAATGTCTGTATTCGAGAGTTATTCTTGACCTTTGTTAGTAAAAACCTACCACAATCAATATGGTAGCCGATCATCAGTACCCAGAGAGAGGGAGGTGGCGGGCGCGTTCGTTCCAACTTGGTTTTCACGGTACGTTGGGAATTCCCCTTTCTACTATCTACGGCTCTGCCTTTCTAAAAACATTAGCGCCCTCACAACAATGTTGCTAAAAAAATATTAAAGCTCCTGAAAAAAGACATGAAAACGGAATTAAAACAGATATCATACAATTGTTTTTATTAAATCTCATCAACAACCATTTTAAATATGTTGAAATCAAGAGAATTGTTTAGGACAAGTAGAAATAGCTTTGTAACTATTCAATATTAATAGAAAATTTGGTGTTAGATGTCTGAGAACGCCGAAAGGAGACAGTGGCAAGCTATAAACGTCAATATAGGTAAAAAATTATAATTAGTCACACAATCATTGCAACGTGTGACAATAAATCCATTCAAACTGGTAAACAACATAAGTGCTATTACGATTTTCCCAGTACTATATCTTTTGAACTGAACATCACAAATTATCCAATTCTTTTGTTCTGTTGAACTAAAATAAACATTCATAATAACGATGATCATAATAAAATAACTATCGATTATCAGGAAATTAGTTTCTTCTTGTATGTCTACAATAAACTACAAATGGATGTCACTATCTAATAAACATAGTTAATTTGCTATTATATATTTCATGGATAGTAGGGTGCCGTTATATGCCACTGTGATCGTTTTATTTCAAGCAAGAAGTTAAACAATATTGTTGGTTTTTACCCTCCATTATAACAATATTGGAAATTGATTGTCAGAGACGATGTAATATTACTGGCAAGCAGCATAATGACAAAAAAATAAGGGTTTGACATTTTGGAAATCAGTTGTTAATATCAAATTAATATCTCAGTATAGGCCTATGTACATTTTTCGTATTCCCAGTGATCATATAAAGTGCTATAAACAAAAAGGTAATAGGGGCCTTCATTAATGCTATATAAAGTCATCATTGATAATCGGTTTAGTACAGTGATGAAGAAGACAAAAATGCCCTCCTATTGATGAATCACGCTTGGAAGATTGCAAATTACACTGTACATTGTACTCAATGATGAATTAAAATTGCAACTTTTGTATTACCGTGTTAAATTTTACTTGCTTTTTAGTCTATTATTATACATTTTAAAATTGTATTTATTTATTATTTAGACCTATGTAATTTTACATGATTGTATTAATTCATGCTCTTCTTGGCGTTCAAACTGTTGGGGGAAATTAAATATTTAAAAAAAATACAGTAATAAACAAAATTAAAACATGTGTATTTTTCTTTAAACCTTTTTATTATGGGTTTGCAATGTTCGTTTTTATAATGAGAACAATATTTTGTTTGTTTTGATACCAAGTGATTGGGTCTGAATTCGCATGGCTCCTGGATGTGATAGTTCTTTATGTTCTGAATATAATATCACCATTTGATAACTTTTCTTTCCTGCATCTTCTTTTCCTTCTGGCTGCTTGAAAATGATATTGCAAACTACAATTTTGTCTTTATGCCTATCTAAAATCTGTTTAAATAAATTATTCTCCACTTGCTTGTAAAACTCTAGACATTTTTCCAATACGATTATATTCCTAATCTTCTTCTCTTATGACAGAAATACCCCATTTTATGTTTGTCATTTACTACAAAAGTAGACTGCAAATATTATAGGATCAGATGTCTGTTATAAAGGAAACAGCTATGCAGAATCCATCCTTAACGGACCTTGTATTGTCGTCTAATTAAAGTTTGCTGACCAAAAAATGAGGCCCTCATTGAGGTTCAAACATTTTCATGTAAATACATACTGCCACCGACTGCACAAAGCCGCTGCCCCCCCCCCCCCCCCCCCCCCCCCCGAAAAAATTGGCTGAGTATATGCCAGTGTTAGCCATAGTGCCCGTCAAAGTGAAAGACTTAGCCTTGGTCAAATTATTCCCAGAATATTTTTCCTCTTAAATTATTCCTTTTAACTTTTATGATCCTACTGATATTCACAACAAAAATACAAGAATTTTAAAAACAATTTTGTTGTCAAAATAATTCTGGTAAAAGAACTATTAAATATCGTTCTGTCAAACTTTTAAATAATCTTCCGCCAGTTGTCCGCTGCTTTATACATTCACTTTGCAATCTTCAGCCAACAATCTAATTTCAATTTGCTTCTTGTAGTTAATTTAATCTATTTAAGTGTTTTTAGCTGGACCCTCAACAAGGAAGAACAATGTCCTCATATTGATTGCGTATCCAAGAAAAAAAGATTTCTATTCTATTAATAGTAATAAACATGAGTTTAAACTTCTGAGCTTTACTGCCTTTGGTTGTAGCAACGATTTAATTTAAATTATTCTAAACTTTGCTTTGATCGTCATCAGGCAAAATTGTCATCAAGATGAGTGAACTACATCCAGAGAAAAGTATCCAGCTGAAAAAATCATATACAGCAAATAATATACAACTTCTGTTCAAAGTCTTGTGACTAGTTATTGTACGTTGCATTTATCAAAATATTTCATCCATGACACCTTATCATTAGCAATTTTTTAAAGATACATGAGGTCTTTATAACTATTAAGACAAATATGTCTTTTTTTTTACATCCACCTGCAATTGATTCATTAAGTTACTTTGTGGTCTACCAGCACGCCCTTTATATGTTTTTGAATTACCTAAGGCAAATGACATGGCAATAAACGCTGGTGTATTTTCATCTAATCTAACTATGTGACCTAGCTTCATCCAACGTGATTTTTCAATCGTTTTTGACCATTGAGATGTGTCAGTTATCTTATACAAGTTTACATTACTAATTCTCTTTGAGGCCAAAATATCTTCAAAATTATTCTTAGATGGTTTCTGTGGAACGCATCAACTTTGTTCCACCATTTAACAGGCAGTGCCCAACTATTTGAGTTATAAAATAAAACTGAAACAACAAGTACGTTATAAATTAGTCTTAATTTATTATATAGTGATATGTTCTTGTATAAATAAACAAATGTTTTATTTAGCTATTTTTGTTTTCTGGGGTTCTGTGTCATTGACAGTATGCACAACCCATTATCAAAGTTTAAAAAATCTTTTCTAAATTCACTGCTAAAAATACCTGAAGGATGAGGAATACAATTGTGTTCTGAATACTAAGTAAATGTGCAAATAGGGAGCAAATTTGTATGAAGTGAAAAGGCGAGTTCATAAAACAGATTTTTTGTTGTTTGTTTTTGTTTTGTTATAGGCCTACTGTAGTTTTCTTTTTAAAAAGTGTTGTTTCAAAATTTGTTAAATGTGCAATGTTTGTAAATGGGTCATTCCGTGCCAACTCAACAAATGGGATGGCTGGGTACCGTCTCAGATTTTCTTGAAACTCGGATATAATGTGCACCAACATGTCTGACGAACAAACCCAAAATTTGACTTGCCAATTCCATGTCTGTCTCTTATAGAAGTTACGGCCATTTGAAATTTTAGGGTCATACCCCTTTTTAGCTATCAATTATGACATATTTGTAAAGTTGCATTTTCAATTAGCCATATCTTCAAATAGAATAAAGATAATTAACTGAAAATTGTTATCTAGACTACCTTTTGGCTGTAGAACAGGAAAATGACATGACTTTTGGTATACCGGACCCCGTTACGAAAATATTGGTTCGTAAAGACCCTAACTTATTTGGTTGCGTAATTTTTCTTCCATATTTAGACCCCATTAAAATACCCAAATCAGTTATTAAATGGGTCTTATACACCAAATTCTTAATATATAGTTGGAAATGTTTCACCACAAAAAATTCCGGATTATTAACTTGTCATTTTAGGGGGTAATCGTAGGTCAAAAGATCATTCGGGACAAAAAATGCACAAAAATGCCTCATTTTCATGGTGACCTTTGACCCTGTGGGCAAGTACGCTTGTTGTTAAAACTTGCACCATTAATTAATTTATATATGATGATCAGATGTTCCAAATATCAGCTTGGTGTCTTTATCCCTTCATGTTTAAAAAGCGATTTGAAAAGGGGTATATTTTTCAATTTGTGACAGTATCAGTGCGTAAATGTGATAAAATAAATTTTTGAATAACGATAATATTAAAAATAATCTGCCTAGACCCTTGAAACTTATAATTCTAAACCAACTTTATGTGCTTATTTCAGGCATGCAGTTCGTTAAGGGATATAGTGTTTCATTAGTAAGATATGTCCCCCCAAAAATGGCCCAAGTGCAAGAATTGCGCAATAAAATTGTATTTACTGTTGATTTCAAATGAGCATAATATTATCTGTGAACAGTCTAGAGCCATGAAACCTTTCATTCTAAGATAACTTTTTGTGTTGATTTCAGTTATGCAGTTTGTTAAAGGGATAAATTGTTTAATTAGTAAGATATTTTGTCCCAAAAATGGCCCAAGTGCAAGATTGTGCAATAAAATTGTGTTTACTATATTATTGATTTCAAATGAGCATGATATTTATCCATGTACTGTCTAGACAGCCATGAAACCCTTCCATTCTAGGACAACTTTTTGTGCTGATTTCAGGTATGCAGTCTGTTAAAGGGATGCATTGTTTAATTAGTAAGATATTTGCCTCAAAAATGGCCCAAGTGCTAAAATTGCACAATAACATTGTGCGACTATATATTGATATATTTCAAATGAGCATAACATTAACAGTGTACTGTTTAGAACCATGAAACCTAAATTCTAGTACACATTTGTATGCTTATTTAATTCATGACGTCTGTTAAGGGACAGAGTGGTTAGATAGTATGATATTTTGCACCAAAAAATGGCTCAAGTGCAAGAATTGCATAATAACATATTATATTTTAAATATGAGCACAATATTATCAGTGTACTAC